AGGCCCGTCAAGCACCTGAAATCCTGCCAGGGTGTTAAGAGCGCTAGACAACTAAGTTTGGGAGATAGGGTTCAAGCCCGATATTACACTCCCAACAAACCGCAATGGAAGTTAGGTACAGTTATCAGGAAGTTGGGGTATCTTCATTATGTTGTAAAACTAGATGACGGGTACACCTTCAAACGACACATAAACCAGCCGGCTACTCCCAACGAGCGTATCAAGGAAAGACATGAATACAATGCCATTTTATGAAAGCAATATGTTCCAGTTCAACAAGATTCAGTTTCATTTCGACACAATTCACTACCGGGTCAACAACAAAGTCTACTTCCAGCTTTACAACAATATCCAATTCCAGCATTACTACCGACGAAAGCAGTCGAAGACAACAGACATAAACGCCGCAGGAAAAATGAAACAGACTTAGAAATTGATCCAGATCCGAAGCGGATATGTAACGACGAGGGTAACTCAGAATCACCGAACGTAATTGATCATTGAGTACTAATCCTCTCCGACACGTAAATCAACTCGGAATCGTAGACCATCAAAATATTTAGATGAGTACGTTTCTGAGTAGAATACGAACCTATTATAACAATCGTTAGTCATCCTACTACTCTTGTAAGCATCTGTAAATTTTCACTAGAGTTATATGAGACATTATTTTTCATATCAAACACCAAATTTGGTGTCACACTTTCGATTGGCTTCAAATTTTTTTTATGGGTTCTATACATGAAATAAGCTAACATATGTTCGAGGATTTTTTTCGCTTTTTTCTTTGGAGATATGATCTGTTAAAGTTTGCATTTTTTCGAGATTCAGACTAATCATATACTCCTTCAAATCGTTATATCTCGGGTCCATCGTAGAGACTTCATCATCATCATTTTAAAGCTTAAGAAACGGGCTTAATATTTCTATATATAAGATGGTCAAGATTGTCCTAAAGCTAACTTAGCTATTAACAGTTGAACTTTTTGAAGTTGATTTGCATAGTGAAGACCAGTAGATTAGGGATTTAAAATTATACCATCGTAATCCTTGTTTAATTCTCTATACAAAACGTGGTTCAAAAAAATGGGGGTTTTTCAATAACTATTTTTAAAATATTTTTCTTTATAACGATATGGTTTATTTTGCGAGAATCAACAATTTTTTGTAATCTGTTTTCCAAAACTTATGTTGAAATATATTTAGTAAGATGTCGCGTAAGATTCCGCTGCAATTCACACTTGATCATGCGGTTGTTGGTTTTGTTGGTTTTTGTTAATAACTCTACTTTTAGAATGTTTAACTTTTTATGTGTGCTCCTCCTTAAGTTATTTGTTTTTGTTATTTTATGGCCTTATAACAATTATATTCAACAATTTTTATTGAGCTTGAGGCCGTTTTTAATGAAAAACTTATTGTAGAAAAGCAACAATAATTTGAAAAAATGGTAGAAGTGATAGCTACATATTTCGGAAATCACCACATTTCCTCATCAGACTTCTTTCAGTAGAATTCGAACCGACGCTGCGCTTGATTGTGTTGGCTTAACAAATGAAAAAGTGGGAAAAAAGCAACGATAATTTACAAGGTGAAAACAATAGGATGGCTCAAATAAGTTACGCTCTTAGTTTTTGATTACCAAAAACCAACTTTATTTCTTTCTTTTCTCTTTTAAACAGGATTCTCCTTAAAGTTAGCTGCGGTTTTTCTCTTCTTCGTCATGTCCAACTTACACAGGGTTGTATTCATACATAAAATATTTCAAGGGTATTAATTGCTTTTACAGCTCGAACATCTTGACATTTTGATCGACTCGATCAACTGTCGATAACTTAAACTAAGTGTCGCCTAAATGGTCTCAATCGCCAGTGTCTGAATCGTTGGTAGGCGCAAGCCATTTTCGTAATCGGTTGGCTTCTACAACGCCGTCATAAGGTATCTGAGTTATTTGACAATTTTCAATATCATATAAAACATAACGATCATTATCCAATTTCTTATGTATTACATAAGGCCCGCGATATTTTGGGATTAGTTTCTTATTCGTCCCAGCAGTAGTATCAACATTTTTCATGACAACAAAGTCTCCGACCTCGTAACCATCTGCTGGTACATTGTGCTTCAGAAAATATTTAAGATTGTACTCTTGAGATTTTTTGATATACTGGAAAGCCTTGTCACGAATTTGCCCAAGTTCACAAACTTCCGATTCTTCTTTATCTACTAGAAATTCAGTTACCTCATCTACAACTCCACCACGCTGTTCCACACCAAATAACAAATGGCACGGAGATTTCTTGGTTGAAGACTGCATAGTATTGTTAATAGCATATTCAACATTAACGAGTTTACTTGCCCAGTCGGAATGGTTGATCGGTTCTGCTAGTTTTGACAACATTGCCTTTAGCACTCTATTCACACGCTCAACCTGGCCATTGGCTTGAGGAGAACCCACCGCCACCTTTACATGCGCTATATTATTTCTTTTTACAAAATCAGAGAATGCTTGCGAAGTAAAACAGGAACCCCTATCACTTATTATTCGCCTAGGTCGACTATAGTAGTCAAAGTATTTCTGTAAGGCTGAACACACTTCTTTAGTGCTCGTGGTTCTAACCGAATATAACTTCACATGTTTCGTAAAACCGTCCACAACAACTAAAACGTGCTTCCTCGCAGATCTAACTGAAGGCAATGGTCCAAAATGATCGATATGTACTGTGTCAAATGGTTCAGGTTTCTTAGGTATATTATATAAGTTGCGGCGTTTTGAGCGCGACTCCGGCGAGTAAACTATACATTTTAAGCAATTTCTTATAAAATTTTTTACTCTCTTCCTTATCTTTGGAAACCAATAATGTCTTCTTAGCTTTTCTACAGTTTCCTCCACCGCCATGTGCCCAATCTTCTCGTGAATAACCCTAATCACATTTGGCTCCATTTCCCTAGGAACATACAGCCTTAAATGTCCTTTCTGGTCTTTCCTAAAAACCAACCCGTCTTTCAGTTCGTACGATTCAATCGACCCATTTTCCAAACGAGACCTAAGAGTCTTCATAGTTTCATCTCTATTCTGAGTCAGCTGCAAGTTAAAATCTATGTCCTCCCTACTCCCCAAATCAACCATACAGCATCTACTCAGGGCATCAACATGACCCTCGATGTTGCTGCACGATGCCTTGCTTTATAGTTGTAGTTTTCAAATGTGAAAACCCACTTAGCAATACGCGGATTAACTTGCTTCTTTACCAGCGCTTGAGCCAAAGCATTACAGTCTGTAACAATAGTAAACGGTATTCCCATAAGTTATGTCTTAAATCTTTCCAAAGCATACACAATGGCCAAAGTTTCGAGTTCAAAACTGTGCAACAAAGATTCGCTCTCTGATGCCGTCTTTGAGAAGTACGATATAGGGTGAAATCTGCCATTGCCTTGCTTTTGCATGAGAATTGCCCCAAAACCCAACTTGCTGGCGTCAGTATGCAGTTCCGTTTCCCTCGAAGGAGAATAGATGGCCAATACAGGGGCTGAAACCAAACATTATTTTAATTTATTAAAAGCTTCTACACATTCTTTCGTGAAATTAAATGGAGTATTCTTCTTAAGAAGTGAAGTTAAAGGTTTAGTAATTTTTGAAAATGAGGCGACAAATCTTCTGAAAAAGGAGAACAAACCTAAACATCTTTGGACCTCCTTAACGTTTCGAGGCTGGGGAAATTCCTTAATGGCATCTATATGCATAGGATGAGTTCGAATACCCTTTTGGTTAACCACATAACCCAAGAAATCAATTTCAAAGTAACCAAGATTACACTTGCTCATTTTCAACTCTAATCCGGCCTTTCTTAGCCGTTGCAAAACTTCACCCAACACTTCCACATGGGACTCAAAAGCATCCGTTGCTATCGTTATATCATCAATAAACACCACTATCTTTTTTGAATGAATTAAGTCTCTCAACACCTCGCAAATAAACCGTTGGAAAAATGCTGGTGCGTTTTTCAGTCCAAAAGGCATTCGAGTGTACTCATATTGGCCACTAGCAGTTACAAATGATGTGTACTTAATCGATTCTTCATGCATACGTACCTGATGGAATCCATTTTTTAAATCTAATGCAGTAAAGTACTTCTTTACCTCGAGATATTCTATACAGTCTTCAACTAACGGAATATATATACATAACCTGCCCTCACCACTTTTTTTTCTAACAAGGACTGTAGCCGACGCATACGGAGAGTTACTGTACCGAATATAACCCTTCTTAAGCAGTTCATCAATTATTGACTGCACCTCCGATTTTTCTAAATAAGATAATCTCCGAGGAGTACAGTGGAACGGCGTGTCATCAGTTAAATTTAATTTCATTTTCAAATCGTAAAGTTTCTTTTCGTCATCAGCTATAGGACTACAATAATTTTTAATGATTAGCTCCTGAAGTACTCCAAACTGTTTTCCATGTAAATCAGGATTAATGTTTATTTCTGTATACGATAAATTGTGATCATCACTACTTTGCTCAATACATAAGTCTGAAGCAATATCGGAAGCTTGAACGACCCTTACCACACCACACAACTTTATCTCAAATTCGTTCCCACAATGCACCGAAGGTTCCGAGGTCAAAATTTTAAAACTTGTATTACTACCTTCCGAATGTAACTCCTTAATATTTTTCTTTACACCTGATTTCAGACACTGTTCACAATAGTCATCAGATTTCCTTAAGCCAAACAAGTCAAATGCACCATTATTTAAAAACTTAGGGTGTCCAAATTCATTCTTATTTTTAATAAGCAACAATTAATTTTTTGGATAAACTTTTCTGTGTTTGAATTTACATAGAATATATTAAATTTTCTTAAAAGGTCACGTCCCACAAGTAGCGGCATAGATAGGTCAGAATCTGGAAGCACAGACAATTCATGTAAAACTTTCTGATTGTCAAACACTACAACACATGAAACATTATCATACACATGTAAATTCACATTACCCACCCCAACATAGTTTGATAATTTCAAACGTCCACTCATCAAATATGGAACACATGACTTCTTAATGAAACTCCTCGGACTGCCGGAATCAAAAAGAGCAGAACAATTATTTTTCTTAGTGCATTTGCCCTGTTTGTCCTTAAAGGCGACACTTACCATTTGCAGCTCATGAATTGCTTCGACCATACCCTCCTCATCTCCTATGTACATCATTCGGACCGACCCCTTCGGGGGATCTTCAACGGCAGCAACCAATCCTCGTTTTGGACAAGCTTGATGCAAGTGGCCCATCGTTCCACACTTAAAACAGGAACCCACAGGACGTTTTGGTTTCGGGCACTGTGTCTGATAGTGTCCAAATTGCGAACAGTTGTAGCAGCGAATTGTATCATTAACTGGAGCTGCCGTAGCTCCATCCGTAGTAGTCATTAAACCAACGCGCGATTTGTTTGGCTTAACTGTCTCAGTATCGGACGCAACTTCTCATACCTCTCCAACTGAAGCTTCAATTCACGAACCGTCTTTGCCTGGTATAACACGGTAGCCAAACCAGATCTATCGCCAATGTTAACAAAAACTGCATCCACCAAATCAGTTGCATTTCCAACAAGTACCTTTAAATGCTTTCATTGCTTTTCGGTTTACGATTTTTTAACTCCTCATATACTTCCCACAAGGAATTCGAATGCCCGAATTGCTATATTAGGGCTTCCTTGAGACCGTCATAATCAGCAGCGGATACCGTTCTAGCAAACAGTTTAGCTGATCCATCCAAAAGGCGGCGAACACATAAAAACTTATAACGTTTATTTATCTGCAACATTTCGAAAATCTCTTCCAGATCGGTAAACCATTTTTTAATATCATGTGCATCGTCACCCGTCCACTTCGTTGCCATAGCATCAATTGATACGACATCCAATGGCGTATTTTGTTGAGCGCTTCCCTGCAATTGCTGAATCTCTTGCTTCAAAAGCAAAATTTCACGTTGTTTTCTTAAGCGAACAATCTTAGCATCCAAGGGAACCATATTCGACGTATTTCCTGCAACACTACTGGCCTTGTTTTCCGATACATAAGAAATTGGAGCAATAGATGACGCAAACGTAACAGCAGTTGTATTGATTCCCGTGCTTGGGACTATCGGAGAGTTTCCCACCGAAGCACAAATTACCGAAGGAGTTTCATCCCTCATTGGAACAGCAGTTTCTTCATAATTATCATCGGAAGTTTGATTGATTACGGAAATTATTGATGGAACAGAAGATTCTTCAACATAAGTGACCGAAGTTACATCCTTTGCAGAAGTCATCGTAGGAACAAAAGCGCATGTAGTCGAAAAGTTTGCATCAGCAGTAGAAAAATTTGCATCAGTGTTTTTTCCACAAGAAACCAACCCAGGATCATTCTGGGCGCCGACCACTCGAGCGCAAAGTGCACGTAGTTGGGAAATAGTTGTCGATTCGGGGAATTTCACTCCCGCTTTAGTCAACGTTTCCACGAGGTCCTCTTTATTACCAAGATTTTCGGCCATAGTATTTCAACTGGACTATATAGTTTAAAAATTCATCAACTTAATGTTTATTCGGGTTTACAATCCCACTTCTGCGGTTGAAAACAATAGGATGGCTCAAATAAATTACGCTCTAAATTTTTGATTACCAAAAACCAACTTTATTCCTTTCTTTTCTCTTTTAAACAGGATTCTCCTTAAAGTTAGCTGCGGTTTTTTCCCTTCTTCGTCATGTCCAACTTACACAGGGTTGTATTCATACATAAAATATTTCAAAGGTATTAATTGCTTTTACAAAGGCGAACTCAGCACAGTGCGTAGGCAACTGGCTGAGTCAGTGGGATCGTCGGTTCGAATCCTAGTGAAAGAAGTCTGATGAGGAAATAAGGTGATTTCCGAAATAGCTATCACTTCTACCGTTTTTTTCAAATTATTGTTGCTTTTCCACAATAAGTTTTTCATTAAAAACGCCTCAAGCTCAATAAAAATTGTTGAATATAATTGTTATAAGGCCATAAAATAACAAACACAAATAACTTAAGGACGAGGACACCTAAAAGTTAAACATTCTAATAACAGAAATATTAACAAAAAGCAACCAAACCAACAACCACATGATCAAGTGTGAATTGCAGCGGAATAGCTGCGCTTGATTGTAGTTGGCTTAACAAATGAAATAGTGGAAAAAGCAACAAGAATTTAAAAGGCGAACTTAGCACAGTGCGTAGGCAACTGGCTGAGTCAGTGGGATCGTCGGTTCGAATCCTACCGAAAGAAGTCTGATGAGGAAATGTAGTGATTTCCGAAATAGCTATCACTTCTACCATTTTTTCAAATTATTGTTGCTTTTTCGCCATACGTTTTTATTAAAAACGGCCTCAATCAAGCTCAATAAAAATTGTTGAATATAAGTATTTAAAAACTTAATTGAATTAGATATTACAATATCAATTGAATTGGTTTTGGAAATGCTTTACTTCTAAACAACACGTAGAAGGGTTGCCACATGTTTAGAAATCAAATTCACTTTGATTAAGGGAATAAGGTAACTGAAATATGTATATCAATATGGGTATCAGACAAAAGAATAAATTGGACATTCTTGAGTTAATTTAAGAGTCCAGTAATTTAAAAGGAACGTAATCAGAACAAATCATTGATTGACAATGTATGTGTTTGTAATAAAATAATAAATACCTTTGGTTTGGCACAATTATTATATTAGTTTAACTAAATTTGACTTTACAAACAGGTGGCAACCCTCTTCGTAATATTTGCAAGCTAAAACCTTTTTAAATCTCTTTCGTCTGACTCCCATATGGTGATACCTATCTATTTCAATTACCGAATCCCTTAAATTCAAATGGAATTTGATTTTCTAAACAGGTGGCAACCTTCTACTTGTAGTTAAGAAATAAACCCTTTTCATACACATTCAAATAGATACCCGTCTGTTAATAATTCATTTAACTTATAAAAAATTTTAATTTAACTTTTACCATTTGGTAACTCGTTAACAAAACTAAACCTCTATTGTCTACAGGTCAAGCTTTTTAAACTGGCACTTCATTTTTGAAAATAGAACGAATCGTGCAGATCTGATGGTACTGAAAAAAAGATGTTACGCATTAGCAAACAACGCATTACTTCAAAAAGTGTAAAAAATGAGCAGGTCTTTATTTCTTCTTTCGAAAGCTAAAAATCTGTATTATTTCATAAAATAATAATAAATAACATATTTTAACATATATTTTTATTCATTCCATTAAAATTTACCATTTTTTGAAATCTTGACTAAAAAAAACGTTTTTCTGGAATACAGCAGGGACACCCTGTGTTTAATTTTATTCCAAAAATTTTATTCCTGCACTTCTCTATTATCTATATGGAAATAAAAAATGTCAAACCAACATTTTATTTCAAAGAATATATTTTTGACATTTGTTCCCGTGAAGAGCTTATGCATGGCTATGCTCTTATTATTCTTAGTATAAAATTTGTCGACTTTGGTGGTTTCCTGGCGACATATAATTAGGTTAGGTTAGAGTGGCTGCTCCGCCCTCTGCGTGGGCTGGAAAAGCCCGTTGTGATACCACTGGCCGAGGCCATTTGTTTCTTTCCCTCCCTTAGTAATTGAACCACCGAGTGCGTTTTATATAATACAAAAAGCCGAGAACGTTCGCCGAGTTCAAATCGGCTAAACAATCTAGAAAGTACTTGTTGAAGAATTGGTTGCGCATGTTGGCCAGGGCAGGACAATGGCAGAGATAGTGTTCGATGGTCTCCACCTCCTCCTCGTCTCTGCAACTGTGACAGAAATCGTTGGTGGGGCATCCTAACCTTTTTCTGTGTGTGCCAATCAGGCAGTGTCCGGTGATTACCCCGACTACTAATCTGAGAGTGGAGCGGTCCAGCTGGGCGAGAGCTATGGATCGCTTTACATCAATCTTTGGCCAAATTTGCCTGGTAGTATGGCAGGTGGTTTCCACAGCCCACCTTATATTTACCTCCTCAACGAGTTTCGCCTTTAGTCTATGTTTGCAGGAGGTTAGGGGTATGCCTGCATTCCGAGCAGAATTGACTACAGATATTTCCGTCCCCCTCCTTGCCAGCTCGTCGGCTAGGCAGTTGCTAGGGATGTCCCTATGTCCAGGGAACCATACAACAGTCAAGGAGCATTTTGATGCCAGCAGGTTGAGTGTCTTCCTGCATTCGATGGCTACTTTGGACGTTGCTTCGTTAGAATTGAGAGATCTCATAGCAGCCTGGCTGTCAGAATAGATAGAAATAGGCCGTCCTGGAGGGGCGGAGGTTATAAGCCACCGAGCCGCCTCCATTATGGCGTTTAATTCCGCTTGAAAAACGCTACAATGGTCCGGTAAGCGAAAACTGAGATTTAGCGCGAGTTGTTCGTCAGAGTAGATCCCGCTACCCACTCTTTTGTTAAGCTTGGAACCATCTGTATATATGGCCGTAGACCATGGCCCTTTCCCACTCGTTCCTCTGGGATTCTTGTGGAGAATTTGGTATCACCACAGAATCTGTCGTAGATTATCCGGTAGTTTCAAGTACTTTTGCGCGTCCGAATCTGAGGTCTCTCCACGGCTGGATTGTATTTAACCTGGCCGCACTACAGCCGGCCCGAAATTTGCCGTGGAGATCCACAGGTGGAAGATTTAAGATTATTTCCAGAGATTTGGTGGGTGTAGTGGGTAGAGCTCCCGTGACGAGCATGGCCGCCGTCTTCTGCACACGTTCCACTTTGGCTCTGGATAAGGTGTTGTTTAGCGCAGGCCACCATACGGTGATCCTGTAGAAAAGGATGGGTCTTATCACAGTTGTGTACATCCAGTGTACTATGTGTGGTTTTATTCCCCATTTTTTGCCTATAGCTGTTTTGCAGGCATACAGAGCAGTATTGGCCTTCCTGGAGCGGTCTTCAATGTTTCGCTTCCAGTCGAGTTTCTTGTCCAGAATAACTCCAAGGTATTTGACCTCGGTTGAGAGAGTAAGTGCCACCGCGTATAGAGCGGGAGGTTTAAATAAGGGAGTTTTATACTTCCTTGTGAAAAATACCATTTCTGTATTGGCAGAATTGACACTAAGTCCATATTCCTTGGACCAGATGTTTACCAGACCGAGTGCGTTCACTCAGGACCTGAAGATGTTTGCCCGTTGCAACGATTGCTATGTCATCAGCGTATGCTATGACTTGACAACCGGCGCTCTTTAGGCTTAAAAGTATGGTGTTCACTGTTAGATTCCAGAGTTGAGGGGAGAGAGTTCTCTTTCCGAGGAGCTCAACAAACTCCACCATATAATTAATTGTATAGGGAAATTGCTGTTCAATTGTTTTTAGTGGATAAATTACCTTTACAAAAATACCAAACACGTTCACATTGCAGACAATGAATTTTTGGATTTTTGCCCACTTAGGCGGCACTGTGGCACTGTGCGACAGAGCGCCCTTCCGTACCTGCCGTCCGTATCAACATATGAAATTGCTGTTGATAGAAAGAGAGAGAAGCAACGACAACGCCACCTTCATGCGGTGGTGAGGTTTCGTTTACACGAGAATCCCAGAAGATAGGTAGGCTGGCACGGACTACGGTTTTACGTCGGTGGCTGGTTGAGCTTTCAGTTTTGTTCTATCACGTAATTTTTCCGAGATATTGGTCTAATAAGTTTGATTTTTAAGTTAGAAAGTATATCCTTGTCATAAAACACATCTTATTTTTATTGTTTGGTAGCTTATTTGTTTAAGGAACCCCACCCTGACATTGTCCACGCTGCGCCCGAACCGAGCAAAAGTTCGACAAAAATGGATCCAAAATCGGACTGATAGGAATGATTCTGTTTTATTTCACAATTAAAAATCCGTAAAATTTCAAATTCTAGCTGCTTCTTGTTTCGAGATAGCGGCGTTTCAATGCAGCAGTAGCCATAGTACATATGTATGTATGTAGATTATTCTCGTTTAGCTTAAAACAACCTGATTTTTGTTTTGAGGACGATAAAAATGACTAGTGTTATTTGATTTTTATTTTGTTGCAATAAAAAATTATTTACTACAGTTGAGTGGACTGTCTGTTGCTAGTGTTTGTAGTATTGTACATGGCATAAAAAAAGGTAGTTTCAGTAGTAGTGTCAGTAGACCACATTACTGTAAATTTTTACTTATTGGCTGCCTTATTTTCAGTTAGTCCCCCTTTGCCAACATTCAATTAACTTCACATACAACATGGGAGCAAATTATACTGCTTCTAATATTTTCTGTTAAACGTATGCGTTGGGACTACTGAATAAATGTTTATACTTTTATTCGTTTGCCTGATAACTTAAAATAAAATTTAAATTCGAGTTAAATTTGTGGCAACCTACTAGATTAATACTAATGCAACCCTGTAGACTATCAATATAGGGGCCAGACGGTAACACTGGTCTGAGGGCATTGAAATAAAAGGTGTGGGCCGAACAGTATTAATTTAATAATTTAAAGATACCTCAAACACATCGTATCCGGAGTGAATTTGTAAAAACTTGAGAACTTAAGTGAAATAAAGCAACTTAAGTGGGCAGAAGCTAAGGAAAAGGCAACTTAAGAGGACCGAAGCCGATCTGCAGAAGTGACTAGTGAAAGATGGCGTCGAAAGAGGACGTAATAACAGCTCTGAGAGGCATCGGGGTTGAATCCCTGAGACAGCTACAATTTCGCAGCTACGTTCGTCATTGGAAGGTGTAGTTGGTACTGCACCGGTAGCTCAAAATCCAGGGGAAAACACCAGCGTGGATGAAGAGGCACGCGCGACCAACTATTCTCAGGTAACAAACGTCGCGATTTCTGAAAAGAACAGTGACG